TCTTCTTCTCCACCAGAAGTGATAATTTTTTGACGCGTTTTCTTACTCTCTGCCCCCTTTGTAAGATAGGAGCGATGGTGCGGGAAGAGGAAGAATCTGCTCCAGAAGGTGTATCTCTGGCCGGAGCCTCAGATGCAGTGTCTCGAAGCTGGAGTTCATCCAGCAAGTGCTCTAGGTTGCAGACTGACTCCGCAAGAGGAGTAGAAGAGAGAGGATTCTCTTGTTGTTTCCATGTGCGCCTCTGATAAGTCTGGCCAAAATGAACCGGATGAGAAGCAGATACTTCAGCTGGAAGAGTATGACTCACAGAGGGAGTGGAAGGAGGTGATGGTGCTCCCACTCTAGGTGATGGTGTGATCGGTGTGAATACTCTAACGGCTGCAAGCCGTTCCACTGGTGATGTCGGCAGATGAGGAAATCTGCAAACTGGATCAGCAACTGATGGGGTAGGGCAAAATGGAGCGAATTCTTCATGCTCAGTGGGCGGAGCAACAGAAGTCTGCAGTTGCTGATGCTGAACCGCAAGTGGCATAAATCTGACAGACCTGTTTTCAATAATTTTTCGATTGTCCTTTCGCTGCAATCGATATCCTTTTGCTGTAGAAGAATAGCCAAGGAATATACATTCAACACTTTTGTGGTCGATCTTACCTCGATGGCCTTTTTCAATGTGTGCAAAGGCAGTGCAGCCAAAGACTTGCAAGTGACGGAGATCCGGCTTGTGTCCATGCCAAAGCTCATGAGGAGTTTTGTCATTGGGTAGAGCCTTTGAAGGCGATCTGTTCTGCAAGTAAACTGCAGTGTGAATGGCCTCGCCCCAGTATCCATGAGGAAGACGGGAATGCGATAGCATTGCAACAACAGCATCTATCAATGTGCGATTCTTCCTCTCGGCTACTCCGTTTTGCTCAGGGGTATCAGGTATGGTATACTGTCGTTGTACACCATGAAGCTGACAAAAGTCAGAAAATGCTCGGGACTTATATTCCAAGCCATTATCTGAACGTAGAACCTTGATGCGCTTGTTCAAGTGGTTCTCAGCCATTGATTTGAACTCTTGAAATTTCGCAAAGGCTTCAGATTTCTGTGACAGTAAATAAACATGAGTGTACCTTGACAGGTCATCAATAAAAGTGATGAAGTACTTTCATCCTGAGAATGTTGGTATTCTCAGTGGACCACAGATGTCTGTGTGTATCAGACCAAGAAGCTCACTAGCACGAGTAGCTCCTTCGCTTGGGAATTTTGCTCTCCTCGATTTCCCTAAAGCACATGATGTGCAAAAGGGAAGAGTACTTGCAGAACATTTCTCCATCCCTGTCACCATGTGATGCTACTTCATCTGCAGAATTCTTGGTAGACTCATGTGGCCGAGCTTCAGATGCCATTGGTAGGTGTTGTGCTCTCCAGTGTCAAAAACCGAATTGGCAGTTGCAGGAACACTACTTGGATTTGAAGAAGTCGTTCCCAGCCTGTACAGCTTGTTTTCACTGATGCACTGAGCAATAACATTACCCATCTTGTCTTTCAAGATGCACGGATTTGGTTGAACCAGTAGACTCCCTCCGTGGATAACAAGCTGATTAATTGAGAAAAGATTCTTTCTCAGAGCAGGAACATGCAGAACATCAGGAATTATCCGGAATAACCATCATTCAACGAAATGATAACATTCCCTTTACCTTGGATGGGTTGGTGACTGTAATCGCCTAGATATACGAACTCTTCTGATGGATAACAAGCTGATTAATTGAGAAAAGATTCTTTCTCAAAGCAAGAACATGCATAACGTCAGGAATTATCCTTTCCTGACCATCATTCAACGAAATGATAACATTCCCTTTACCTTGGATGGGTTGGCGACTGTCATCGCCTAGATATACGAACTCTTCTGATGGGAGTTAAGTATATGACACAAAGTCGTTCTTGTTGTAAGCCATGTGTTGAGTAGCGCCTGAGTCTACGTACTAAGCAGTATCTATGCCGATTGTGGAAAGGGCAGTGACGTATAGAAGCTGCTGGACATTTGCTGTAGAGTGAGAAGCAGACTTATCCTGTTTCTTCTTCCGGCACTCGTTAGCAAGGTGGCCTTGCTTCTGACAGTAGAAGCACTTCACGTTTTTCCTGAAAAGAGGTGGTTCTGAGAAGGTGCTGATGATTTGTCTTGATGAAGTTCCAGAGTGTACTCCATTCGCGATCTTGGGCGTTGAGATCCATCCATGTCTGGGTGCAGTGTACAATGCTGCCATACCATTCGCCAACTCTTCTTCCTGTAGGTGAGATTCCTCGTGAAAAATACTAGCAATCAGGGATTGTGTAGATGACACCTGTAGTGTCCTCATCGAACGAACGAATGAACTGTACCTGGGGGTAGACTTCTGAGAAGACAAATGTATGCCTCGTCCTCAGGAATCGTCCGCCCTATAGCAGCTAACTGATTTAGAAGAAGACGAAACTTGGTAATGTGTTGAGACATTGTGTCACCAGGTCATTTCTTCAAAGAGTACAAAGCATCTCGGATCTGCATGGAAATATCTCGTGATTCGTACATCCTTTGTAACTCTCCCTAGGCCTTAGCTGCTGTCTGGCAATGAGCAATGAGAGGTTGCTGGATATCGTCCAGCGCATTGTTTAACAATGCTAAAGATAGGACATTTCTATCATCCCAATCTTTCTTACTCCCTGCTGCACTTGAATCTGGTGTACAGGTTCCAGACCCAGGTGGAGTGCTTGGCCTAATCTCCTGGCCCTCCATGATACTCATCAAACCTTCTACGCGAAGTATCCAACCCATTTTATTTTTCCACGAATGGAAAAACTCCCCATTAAACTGGGGGAGAGTTTCTTTCCATAGGTCTCGTGTTTAGGCCCCTAGAGTTGTCATTCTCTCTGAACGCTCTTGAATCCTTCAAACTCCCCTTTCTACACTCGAGGTCTAACTCTTCACTAGTGTAACTCTCTACACTGGAGGTCTAACTCTTCACTAGTGTAACTCTCTGCTCCGTCTCTTCACTAGTGTAACTCTCTGCTCCGTATCGAACAGTTGGACAGGAAGTGCGCAGAGCTCCGATGCTCTGATACCCATGTTAGATAGTTACAGTCACTCACAAGCAAGGGGGATCTGAACAGGAATGATATAATTGAGGAACGCGTCCGGATTTATACCCAGACGATACATAGTAACGACACAGAGACATGCATCCACTCTGATACATGTACCACTTATCTAAATCTTACTAGCACCGCTACTTACTATAAACATGAAGGTGCACGTATCATCTGTACTACTAACACCTGTACTGAGGAGTAAGTGAAGTGCCACGTATCTACTAACACGAGAAGTAAGTGCAGTGTACTGAGAAGTATCAGTTGCGTAGTATCCTTCTAACAATAAATGACTTGAGTCAGCTGATATCATTGTAAGCATTCCTACCCGTTTTCTTGAATCTGCAGATCACACCAGTCTTATGTGGTAGCGATGAGATTCTTTCGACTTGTACTTGTTTCCAACAGGAGTCCTGGATTCAGCAATAAATGATTTGAGTCAGCTGGTATCATTGTAAGCATTCCTACCCGTTTTCTTGAATCTGCATATCACAGTATTCTTATGTGGTAGCGATGAGATTCTTTGGACTTGTACTTGTTTCCAACAGTGGACACCTCTCACGGCGTTTGGTAGACTGTGGCTCCTGATTGTTCCGACCAGTACCCAACTTTTTATAAAAAGCGAATTTTCTCTACTCAGAGGTGGTTCTGTTCTTGCTACTACTGACATCCTTTTATGGCGGCCAGGGATCTGCAAAACAATAATTTAAGTAAAGCACTCCCAGAATACTTGGTTCTCGTTCCGTCTCTCGTGGAGCTGTAAGTTTTTGCCGCATGTCCCGAGCCATGACTTCACAATCTTGGGAATTCATTCACCGTTCCTTCACCTTTCTAACTTATCCTCCTCTTGCTCATGACAGAAGAGTGCGTTTTGTTTCTCATATCAAAAACGATCTGTTCACCCAGTGCTTCAAAACAGTGGAAGCTTTCGATTAAAACTTTGGGTCCAATTCTCCACGAGTGATCATGGACATCCCGATTCCCTTAGGAATTTCTTCTGTCATGCTGTTTGCGGCAACTAATTTCTTGACATGGATTCTCTGTGCCACAATGAAGGAATGTGTCGAACAACAGTCTGAATGGCGCGCTTTCGACGTGCTCTGGATCGAAGTTAAACCACTCGTGCGTACTTTCTCCTTCCAAGCTTTTTACTTGACATTGCTCTCATTTTGACATCTTTGCGTCCAGGTCTCCACTCAGCGGCTGATGTTCCGTTATCTCGTATTGATAAAACTGCATGAGTGTTCGTAATCGTCTCTCAACGCTCTTAGAGTTTAGATCAGAGAAGATTCTGTGTGATTGCACCATTCGTGTTACAGCTCTTGACGCGGACTAAGATTAGAACATATTTGCTTGCATATGCGATGCCAATCCACTCTTTGATTGCAAACAAAGATTAGATTCTTGCCTTGGATTGCTACAGTAGCCGAAGGAGTTTTTGGAGATCTTTCTTTCCTTTCACTGATCGTTGTTTGCCTAGTGTTCTTATCCATGCAAAGAAGAAAAGGGCTCTTGCAAGAAAACGTCGAACGTTTGCAGGAGGGCCTATTCCTCAAACCTCAATGATGACGAAAACACGGCTTGTTTCACGTCAGAGCAAATACATGACCAACAATTTTGAAAAGAAGGTCGGACAAGGGTAGTATGGAGCCTTGTATCTTAGAAAGCTAAATATTTGCAAAAAAATTGCCGTGAAAGTACTTGACGTCAAGTTTCGTCAAAGAATCAATGATTTCATAAATGAAGTGAGTGACAAGCCTCGTAACCGAGAGGTTATTTAACATAGGGGCACCATTACTCTATCGTGAAGATTATGCGAAGAATAGAGTAATGATGCCCGTGTGTGACGTGAAACAATCTTGGACCAATCAGATCATAACAAGCTTCATATCTTTCCTACATCGCCCAGAAAAAGGCCAACTTTTCCATCTCCATGGGAATATTATACACATCGTGGTTGCTCGATATTTTACACAGAATCATGTGCCACTGAGCGAAACCAATCGCCTGATGGCCTAAGATCCTTCGACATCGTCTCGTGCCAATTTACTTAGGCCGAGAGAAATTGTCACCTATGCGGAGCGAGTTTAAGAGATACGCTCTTAGTCCAAGAGCTTGTGTTTCCTTATACTCAGCAATCCTCACTTCTTCGCCGGAGACGCACCGGTTGAGACTTGGAATCCTAATTTGCTCCATTCTGATTTTGCCCTCTAAAAAGGTACGTACTCTGAAGAATGTCGTGAGCTTCCCACCTGCATATCCCCCGTACAGAAATGTCCAACAAAATGTTTTGAATACAATTCAGGTGCTGGTTCTGCTATCTGCCCACCTGGTAAGAGGCATCGATGTTGGTCCGATCAAGGCATGCAGAGGACAACACAAGCTCGGCGGCCGGGTCAGAGGAGTCACTGCTTTGTAAAGATCTCGTATACGTAGAGGAAAGAGGCGTTAGTTCGCTAAAAGGGCTCTGGGGTACACTCTCGACCGGGAAATCTGCGTCCCTGGCCTCACACAAGACCCTAACAATCTGCTCCATATCAGGTCTATGTATGGACTGTAGAGCAATACAAGACACCGCGAGCTGAATCACTCTTATCATGACGTCTTCACTATACTGTCCATTTAGGTTTTCATCTGCAATACCAAGAATGTTCGTCGGCAACTGCCGTTTCACCTGCAAAAGCCAAAGCGTGCATCCGCGTTTCAGATGGAGCTGGAGCCGTTTTTCTCGATGATTGCAAAGTCAAGGATGTCATAAGCGCTGTTATCCATTTGTAGCCATTTCAATACTTACCCATTCGACGAGGGTTCCCGCACTTCCATCTGGAAGTTGGGAACTGAAGGGATGAACTCCAGATATCACTTCCAGAAGCACAATACCAAAGCTGTACACGTCGCTTTTATGCGTTAGCCGCTGTGTCATGAAATACCTGCAATTGCAAACCGGGTCGACAGCTCAGAGATGTAGCGTTGGGGTTTGTGTCTCGCCAATTGGCAGGTCATGCAAGCACATGGATCATCTCAAGCAAGCATTGAGGGCTTCCGAGGGCATATGGAAGGAAGTTCAGGGCTTACTCAGGATCGAAATATCCGGGCGTGCCCTTCACAACGGTTGAAATACCACTCTCGAAGCCTCCGTCCGGTCCAGCCTTCGAGAGACCGAAATCGGCAACCTTGGCAACGAATTTTTCGTCCAGCAGTATATTGGAACTCTTGACATCGCGATGAATAATTTGAGGATGACAGTCTTTGTGAAGGTATTCCAGCCCTGAATGAGCGTGACCAGGATGTAAGACGCCGTTCCCCGTTCTCGAAGAACGTTAGCCACAAACGTAGAGCTGTCACTAAAAGCGATTTCAACACGACCGGACTTTGTTCCCTCTGAAACATGAGTAGCTTGTCCTTACAGGACTCAGCAGTCTAGTATACCTTTGCCGGAGTCTATGGCGATGTCGAGACGAGTTTTCCAGCTTAGCGGTTCCTTCTTCAGGTTACCTGTAAGCAAAGCGGTACATTTCAGTGGTTGCGTGAATTCGCTTAGGTCAGATGGAAAGTAAGGTGTGCTACCAGCCAAGATTTGGACTTTCTGGTCCACAACTTGTTGATGAACATCCTTATTCCAAGTCATCTATGATGTAATCTGAGCTATCTCGGAGTGATCTGATTACCCACCGCCTAGATGCTCGCGCAAATTTCCGTTGCCCATGTACTCATAGACCAGTACCTGCTGGTCCATTTCTTCACAATAGCCTAGGAGAGAAACCAGATTCCTATGGTGGACTCTCGACAATAGATTCACCTGTTACAGGCATCAGTCACAGTAAGGCATTGAAGAGGCCAATTTGAGCTGAGCGACATTGCGATGAAGAGCAAATTGAATATTTTGTAGGAGGGCTGCTGGCTGCCTTCTATATGTAACTCTAAGACAATCAATGATGCCGGGGAGGTAAACGCTCTAAGCCATTGGTCAGACGAGATCTTAGGGAAAGAAGTTGACGAGACTTATCACTCACCTCATTTATGAATTCGTTGATTCCTTGACGAGACATGGCGTCATGTACTTTCACAGCAATTTTTTTGCCTGTATCTAGCTCTCCAAGATACACGGCTCCATACGACCCTTGTCCGATCTTCTTTTCAAAATTGTTAGTCAGCTTTTGTATTTGCTCTGACGTGAAACGAGCCGTGTTTTCATCACCATTGAAGTTTGAAGAATAGGGCCCTCCTGCAAACGTTGCAAGGTAAAGATCAGGGCCTGATGTTCTTGCCTACATCACTATACCCTAAAAGGCATCAAATTTCTGGGGCCCAGTGTCGATCGTCACTAGCATAGCGATAGCAGCAGCTCTATTAGATTCGCGCAATTGTTGGGGAATCGTACTTACGGGCTACCAGCTTGACTTTTATCCCGTTTTGTGACTGAGACAAAGCAGCTTCTCTTGCAAGAGCTCTTTTCTTCTTCGCATGTATAATCAACACCAGGCAAACAACGATCAGTGAAAGGAAAAATAAACCTCCAAACACTCCTCCGACTACCAAGGCAACTGACACTCCTCCTCCGCCCGATCCAAGGCAAGAATTCAATTTTTGTTTGCAATCAAAGAGTGGATTGGCGTCGCATCTGCAAGCAAGTATATTCAAAGCTTAGTCCGGATAGAGAGCTGTAACATGAACGGTGCAATCACACGGCTTCTTCTCTGATCTAAAGTCTCAGAGCGTTGAGAGACGACTACGAACACTCATGCAATCTCATCTATCCGAGAGAACGGGACATCAGCAGCTGAGTGGAGACCTGGACGCAAAGATGTCAAAATGAAAGCAACGTCAAGTCACTTCCTTCTGAGCTTGGAAGGAGAAAGTACGCACGAGAAGATTAACTTCGTTCCAGGGCACGTCGAAAGCGCGCCATTCAGACTGTTGTTCGACACATCCCTTCATTGTGGCACAGAGAATCCATGTCAAAAGGTTAGTTGCCGCACACAGCCTGTCAGAAGAAATTCCTAAGAGAATCGGGATGTCCATGATCACTCATGGAGAATTGGAAACCAAGATGTACTGGAAAGCTTCCACTGTTTTGAAGCACTGGGTGAACAGATCGTCTTTGATAGGAGAAACAAAACACACTCTTCTGTCATGAGCAAGAACAGGGATAAACTAGAATTGCGAAGTAACAGTAAATGAATCCCCAAGATTGTGAAGGCATGGCTCGGGAGATGCGGCGAAAACTTACAGCTTCACGAGAGACGGAACGAGAAACAAGTATTCTGGGAATGCTCCACTGAAGTTGTTGTTTTGCAGCTTCCTGGCCGCCATAAAAGGATGTCAGTAGTGCCAAGAACAAGTGCGACAAGAACAGAACCAGCTCTGAGTAAAGAGAATTCGCTTTAATGAAAAGTTGCAGCTTCAAGCATCCCACTTACACTGTTACGAGTTTAGTCAAGCCCCTAAGGTCTGGAATCACGCCCGACAGTTGATTGTGATCCAGAAGCCTGTGGCATTACATTACATTGATCAGATGATGTGGTATCGTCAAATCTTTACATGTGTCTGAGGTGCTGGTCAGAACAATCAGGAGCCAAAGTCTACCAAACGCCGTGAGAGGTGTCCACTGTTGGAAACAAGTACAAATCCAAAGAATCTCATCGCTTGGAAACAAGTACAATTGTTATGTGGTGCTACCACATAAGAATACTGTGATCTGAAGATTGAAGAAGAGGGGCGGGAATGCTTACAATATTGTCAGCTGACTCAAGTCATTTATGGCTGGATCCAGGACTCCTGTCGTATTATACCCCGAGATAATCCTGGTAACAAGTACAACTGTGACTTCAGTTATTGCAAAGAAAGTAAAAATGAGCCTGTGCTTCCAAATAACATTCTACATTCGATCCAGCAGAAGGAGACAACGAGAAGTTAAGATTTACACTAGGCCACCCTCGAACGTAAACATAAAAACAAACGTTTGAAAATTTCACAGACCTCTCTCAACCATAATCACACTTCCAGTAGGACCAGTGAGCAAAGTAGAAACTGTGGTCTCGACTGCAGAGCCAAGGATTGAGGTCCCCAAAATTTCACAGCCGGGGAATTTGAACATGCCTCTTGGTTGACAACAGAACATAATTTTTGCTTGTCATGAGACTCTTGAGGAAACTTGAGCCTCCTACACATGCTGACATCGAGACAAGATTTGGAACCTGTCAAGAGAGCAAAAAAACTTACACTTCAGAGACTCTCGCCGGTTGAGAATTGGCATCGCAAACAACCCAATCCCACGCGACAGGATAACACGGATCCCCGGGGTAGTCCGGCAGGTTGAAACCTGCCTTGACCCGTTCCAAAGCACTCGCTGGTCACAGGAAGAGGTAAGAATAAATCCGATCAGCTCTCGCCATCAATCCATGAGGCGCAGGAATGGGAAATCAGACGCGCCTTGCCATTTCACATCGTTTTCAAGGGACTCCCAAGTTTGGAGGGTGACTCCTGTCTCCCACTTACCGTCGTTGGCATCCGTGGAGTTGGAGCTGACGTTGGTCATGAAGTAGTATTCCGCTGCATTTGCTAGTGGGAACAGGCGGGATTCCGGGAGTCTACTGAGAGTGGCGGAAAATGCCGAGTTCGACAGGTTGAACGATGCTGAGGAATCTTGATTCACTTCCCTCGTCACGTTGAAATCATTCGCTTCGTAGTCATTGAAATGCACTTGAATCCTGATGCTCCGTACATTCGTCGCGGTGGCATTATCATCGATCTCCTGTAAGTAAATTATACCGTAGAAAATTTGGACTGTTGCGGAAAAGCTGAGGCTGAATTCTATGTTCGGTTGACTCTCGGTACCCACACAAGCATCCTGCATCACCTTCCGCGGTACTCGATTCCCACTGAGCTGAGGTAGTATAAGGTCAGGGCGCGAGGAATTCAGCGTGCTCGGGCATAATATACTCCCCAATCTCAAGTATGGCGGCCAGAAGCGATCGTACGGATCATCTGGGTACCTGCACATCACATTCAGTCACAGGCCATGAGTTTTGAGGCATTATAGCCTCAAAAACTCCAATCGGAGCGTCAAGAAGGTCGCCGCATAGTAGGGAATGAGATTGCTTCGGTTTCAGAGTCGGAATTGCTCTTGAGCCCTTGAGGAGGTTATAGACAAACGCTATCGGTGGAATTGCTGCGCAAGCACGAGAGCCACGAATTTTGAATTCTCGAATTCGACGGAGCTCGAGCTCCACGCCAGAGAGAGAGAGAGAGAGAGAGAGAGAGTTCATCTCACACTGATTATCGAAACTTGGCTCGACCGGCGAGCGAGTCAGTCAGAATTTTGGTCTAGAGGTCCAAACAACGATGGAACGTACCTGATTTGCGAACCGACCGGCATACCCAAGTTTATTCGCATCTCGAGAAATAGCATCTGTCCTGAATTCAAGCCCGTGTCATCGGCGGCGTACATGGTTGGGTCGAATTTCCTGAGCTCCAACGCCGAAATGAAAGGGTTGCCGTTACCGCGCACGAGGCAGACATTAATCTTGGACCCGGTGGAATTCACAATGGCTTCGGACACTCGCACAGTGTCAAGGCTCGGGGCTCCAGTTGACGGCGAGTTGGAGTACGAGATAGTGGTCCACGGAGTCGAATCGATGAACAGCTGAAAGTTCAGATCGTTCACAATCTGGCCCTTGTCTAAAAACCTGAATGTCGTGCGAATGAGGTAAGTCGACCAAATTTCTGTAGGTAGAGTGTAGCAATTCTTCTGGCGCTCGGGGAAGAACCTGTTGTCCCATATTTGGGTGAGATTTTCAGGCGAGCTGGCAGTTTTGCTGACTGGTGCTGTGTTGATTCCAGTGGTTACGTAGCCCTGATCAGTGACCCAGTCGATTCCAGTCAGCGCGTCCGTGTAGTTGACAGTAGATCCGCAGTCTATGCTCAGAAACCCTGCCACCCGCCACATACAAAGCTCCACGGTCAGTCCGCCATACATATCACATTCATCACTGACACGATCGTCGAGCTCCGAGGAGCTAAGCGTAAGAGCGAGAGACGATTCTCACGATTCTCATTCTCAATCTGAAGTGCGCGGTACCCGTGAGGATGCCATACCTGGTTGTGCGATGACCAGCACAGCGGACAGGCAAAGAACTATGGCTCCAATGCACGGGCCGCTTTTGCCTCCGATCATTGTCAAAGGCTGGAATGTGAATTCTGCATCATTACCCTGCTACCACGGCTGTATTTCGACGACAGAGCTTGTTTCTTGGCACCTCCGGTGCGAGGAACGATTAACCAAGCAGCTGCGTCACCCAGATTGGCTCGATCGCTCTCCCTGTCTCTCTCGTAATTGGCAACCTTCATGCGACTGCACAATCTCCAGAGAGTTTTGAAAACTTCCTCTACAAGGCTTCTGCAATCCACTGCAACGCCAATCAGACAGCACCTCGGGAGCACGTAAGGCGAGATCAGTTCATCACAGCAGAATCTCAACGGGCGCTCTTCGTGAACATCGACCGATCTCGAGCGACGAAAGGAAACGCAACGGAGAGTTCGGGGGTCCGGACAAGTCGTCGCTGGACGGCTGCCCGCCCGCCCGCTCTGCGCTCGATCCCGCCGCCGAGAACTTCCGCTCACTCCACCGAGCCGACGATCCGGTCAAATCCGCTCTCGCTCGGCCATTCGCCACCTGACCGGTGTGACCGGAGACCTAGATCCTATAAAAATTGTATGGATCCAAACACTTGAGGGAGGATTTCCCTGCGAGCGAGCGGGCGAGCAGCTCAGAGCCGCGGTGACGTCTCGAGGTGATTGAGTCCCCGACACCGAAGGACCCGGTTGCCGTCTTTCGTCGTGAGGGAATCGGCTCATCGTCCAGGCATGCGGTCTCCGAGAGAACTGAGTATCGAGGGTCAATGCAGAGTTTACGACAGCTGACGTCCGCGGCTCGCGGAGCTGTTCGACCAATTTCCGACCTGGAGCGTTCTACAGGACCGCATCCCCGACCCCTTACCCGGGTGGACCGACAGCAACCGGGTCCCCACTGTCCGGCCCGGCAGAGACCTCCCGTCTCGGCTGCGATCCGATCCGCCTCCAGGTGGGAGCTGTGAACACGGTGGTTCTGCGCAGGCGACGGATATCTGCAATCTATCCAGTCCCGAGCTGTTGAAGCATCTGGGTAGGGTTGGCACAACAAAAATTTTCGAGGCATGCCCATGCCCCCTTTCAACGTCAAAAGGCATGCCGTACTACAATAAGTATATTTGATGTATCAGAAAATATACCTCTATGAAAATATAGCACTCTTAGAAAGAGAACCAATCAACAAGACGGAGTACCTGTTTACATCCCACATACCGACACAAAAACAGCATTGCATATGCTTGGCAAATCCTTCAGTACCATGCAGCCCCAATAACAAGCATAATTTAACATTTATTTTTTGACTTATACCATCGTCTATAACTCTAGACTATACGTACAAATTTTTCGTACATACCGGCATGCCCGTGGGCATGCCCCCGTGCATGCCTTTTGAGTTGTGCCTCCAACACTACGTCTGGGGAGAGATCCGATCTTATGTTTACAGTGCGCTTTTGTTCTGTAGCTTGTGTCGCAGGTGAGCTCGATTTTCTGAGGCGGGAGAAGTCACGACCTGTCCAGTTGGATGAGGTTGATGGACTTTGTTTGCGAGCCAGCGGCGCAGCCCTGAGAAACCACGTCGGGCACGGAGAAGACGAGGCAGCCCGACCCCGCCCCGAGCCCGAGGACACGAGCTTCCAGCTCAAGCATGTAGGGTTTAGGCGAGTGAGCGCTGATGTCAGCGCTGACTTGTGTGCCTTAGGCGGCCACCACGTCATCTTCGCGGTTGGCGTCAATGACCTACAACGTCATACTCCCAATCGTAGAGATTATCGCTTGAAGTAATCGCTTCGTTCATTACAGTTTTCTGTATAGACAACTACCCAATCTTATTACGAGGAGATCAACTATTGAGAAGATGCTTCTGGAAGGCGTATGATTGTATGTAACCCGGTTGACTTAATATTATATAATAGGCCAATGTCACGTAACACGTGTTGCAACACTGTAACGCTTGCGGACCTAGCATGTTGAGTTTCATGCGTGTATCATTCGAGAGGGTCTACCTATCCTTTTTGATTGCTATTTTACTTGATCCCCCGCTTGTGTGACTACAGTATTGGTCCTCATGTAGCACGAGTTGGGAGATACACAATACTGGTTAATGTAGGCGATCCTATGCCGCGAAGCCTAAAGTACCTAAAGTAGATTACGCGAGCGCCTGGTGTATTTCAGATACACCTTTTGAAGATAGTTTATTTCATTCACAAGAATTATCAAGAGCTACGAATCATACTATATTATTTTGATATACAATGCATGAATTTATTACTTAGTATAAAACTTGAAAAATATATATACAAAGTAAGGTTGTGAAATGATATCATGGGAGCATAATAGACTTCTAGATTTGACTATGTGGTAACAAAATTACATGACGGTTTTCGATGTAGTTTCGTTGCGTTCTATGTGTTGTGTAAGAAATTCATTATCATTGATACCTCAAAAAAACTCCACATAGGTAGAATTGTGTTTCATAACCCGTTATAAACCTTTTATGTCTACTATGATGATACTGTTATGTACACCCAACTTTCATGACTGATATAGACAGTTTGGATTTTACAAAGCAAATTATGCCAGCATATCACTGATAAGCTTCATCTTTTAGTGTATGTCGTGAACTCCTCATCTTCAACTTAGTTCTCATCTTGAGTTTTACCAAAGATGATGGATAGCATCAACGAACCTTTTCACATTCTCTGATATAGTTCATATGAATGACTTCTCAACTAGAAAAATTACGTTATGTGTTGTATGATTTTATTCCTATCGATGATTTTTTCTACCAAAAAACCTTATATTGTGCTCGCCATACTCTTCATTTTTATTATTTCTGGATTCACATATCTATATTTTTTCCACGTTTGAAAAATAGGCTGATGATGGATAACTTAGATAAATTTTAGGACTTGAAAACTTTGGGTATGTGACTCAAACTTTGGCAAAGAAATGAAAATCACAACACTTTCATGTGAATGGATAGTTTCATAAGAAAATAAATAAATAAACTTTTAGAATATATGACTCGTTGGACATTCTCAGTGTCTTTGTAGATATTTCCGTTTCTGATGGCAGATATGTCCATACTTGAAATGTCAGTTTGTGAATGGTGCGGGTGGAGATTCATTTTTTTGTGTATCTAAAGGAAACTTGAAGTTAAAACCATAGCACCTAAATTTTCTCAAAATTTTGACAAAGAGCTGTTTTTTCCCTCTTTGCCCACCAATTGGATTATGACCAACAGTTTCTTGGTGTTTAACACCATTCATTGTGTAAAGAAATCTTTTTGGGAAGATATGATGTTCGTGGATTTTTGGTCGACAACGCATCATGACTTTTGGACTAGACGACATGTTCTAAATTGATGATGCTAAAAGTACATCCGGTCAACAACAGAAAAAATGCCCGGGTGGAAAAAGCAATGAGGGTAGCATCTTTCCCCAAATTTGCTGGGAGCCAAGCATATTCCTCAACTAAACAGGATTTGCAGCTTGGATGGTGTTCTTTGACCTAGGTCAATTTACATTTCTTCAGGCCACGACCACTACGATGAACATGAGGTAACATGTGTTGAGTGATATACACGCCGAGGAGTTCAAAATCGCAAGACATTTCATCATACTGGAAAACAAGTGAAAATATAAATGTGATTTTCGCGGGTAAATGAAGCACACTAGAGCCCATCGTGGGGTCCGGCTCAACCTCGGCAAGTTAACGTAACCTTATAGGGTTACCCGGTAAAAGGGTTAATTTTTACCCTTTTACCGGGTAAAAATTAACGATAAAAGTAAGAAGTTTGGCGATAGGGTAACGTAAAGATAGAGCCACATGGGTTACCAGATAATTACCAGGTAACTCGTACCCGAAAAAACACAAATGTGTACATTCTCAGAATTTAATTCTGCGCATTCTACTGAAGGGATCCACTTAAATTATCTCTAACTTTTACCTTATAGGGTAGAGATAACAGTGTAATTACCATGTAACCCTGATGTGATGTAAGAATAACGTTTAGATCTTTAAGAATTAGTATCAAGTAACCCGGTAATTTTTTAATTATTTCTAGATAGAAATAAAGAGTAAAGGTAGAAACGAGTAAGCCCGACCTAGGAGGCCCTCCCGCTTTAGCTCGCCCCACTCTCGCTCGATCCCCTGTGCTCTTTCCCTCGCGGTCTCCATTGTGCTCTTTCCCTCCGCAGGGAACTTGTACTCTGTTATTTTTTCCCCCCTCCCCTCGCAAAGGGGAAGAGAAATGGAGTAGGATGTTTGGGGTTTCCACTCTTCTTCCTCCAAAAAAACCAGATACTTTAAAAACTAAATAAATCTATTGTAAGTAAACTAAGTATGTTACTTCTGGCATTTGTGCTAAAAAGCATTTATAGAGGGAAGAACAAATTCTATTTTTTACAAAAATTGTGACCATGAGATTTTTGTGAAATAAAATTTATGATTTGAATTTTTTCATTGTAATCTTTCAATATGAATTCTCTTGTGATTTTACTTCATGTTAATACATGAATATATTTACTCAGTTTTTAAAATTCTTAGTTTTTTTTGGAAGAATAGTGGAAGCCCCAAACATGCTACTCCATTTCTCCTCCCCTTTGCGAGAGGAGGGGGAAAAAATACAGAGTACAAGTTCCATGCAGAGGAAAGAGCACAAGGGAGGCCGCGAGGGAAAGAACCCGATGGTCGAGCGGGAGTTGGGCGAGCTAAAGCAGGAGGGGTTCCATGGTCGAATGGGGAGGTCGGGCTGCGGGCCCGGGCGGGCAGAAAGCCCTCCCGGGCAGCGCTCGCGTTCCCCCTTTTGTGAGGAGCCCTTAGTGACGAGTGGCGGCGGGGTCGGGACGCAACAGGTGTTCAGAAGCAGCTGCCCTGATGTCCAACAATGTCAAGGCGTAGAATTTGGCCCTTACATTTTTAGGAAGTTTTGAGCTTCATTGAATATTCGGAACGCCGAGTTGAAACTCTTGGTCAATGGTGTCAGAGGGTGTACAGAATCTGAATCCGCTAATCTCGCGTAATGTAGAGCCCAGGCGATATTCCGAGCTGATTCTGATCTGCCGTACGTAGAGTAGTAATGCAAAAGGAGGGCTCCTGGTATGTGAGATCCGGCAAGCATGAGGCTTGAGCGCGCTAAAGTGCGCGGTCGCGGAATTTCGCATGCGGTTTCGACAGATGACTTTCTCAGAGATTTTATCGAAGTCGGAGACCAGGCGAGCTACAAATGCTTCGCAGTAGTGACCTGATACTGATCACCTCCCTTCCGCAGTCGCTTGAGGCTTGCACTCTGACGAAATTTTCCACCACGACGACGGCGGCTTATGCGCCAACGTGTAGAATCCGGGAGACATGGCCTTCTTATCAAGATGTGATGAGGAGGAGGAGGAGGAAAGAGGTTTGTGGCAATCATTGATTCTATTCGGATCCTGTCTCCTTCACGCAGAGATTGGCACTCATGCAGCTGTATGTAGAATTTCGTTGGGTTTCAGAGCTTTAAAGGACACCTCATCAAGCCGGGGCTTGGGCCTAGTTTTACAGTGGACTGTAGCAACATCACACTCTTATGGATGCAACTGCAAATGACCCGAGAGACATTTGCAGTGCATTTGCAGATCTATAGGCCAAACGTGGACGTGGAATGCTTGGTGTGTTTGAAACTTTCCACGCAGGTTAAAGCTCAATATTGGATTCAAGCCACACGAAAACAACTAACAAGGTCAACGAAACCTGGAACGCGGGCATTTGCAGATTCTTCATTCGTGTTTATTTTTCAAGTTCAGAAGTATCTGCAGTAGATTCTGCGGTATAGGTGGAACTTTATCTGCGCTAGGCCCCAAGACTCTCTTGCGGCATGACAATAGGACATTCTGAATTCTCTATTCACGTAGCCAATCAATACGAATCCGATCGATTCAATCATATCACGCTCCCCCTGGATTTCTTTACTCTTCTGGCAGTGCATTCGTGTCAATGTTTCTTGCACCGATTAGACTCGTCCGGCCCCGCCTCCGCAACTCCAATATAGAACTCTTGAACTAGAAAATTGTTTCCATTCCGTAGATTGAAGATGAGTCAAAAGTTGCTAATTGCTTGAAGGTTCATCTGATTGGATTCGAAGGTTTGTGGTCGTTATTTCCTCCTTTCGAACCTTGTACTTTCGGCGGATGTTTGATTGACATGGTACGGAGAAAATCTCTTCAGGCCAAGTAAAGTAAGAGAGAATCTTATACGGAGTCGCAAGGATCCACAAAGTATTAGAAGTCTTCAACCATGAGTAAAACGGAAAGAGATTACAGTTCACTGCATGCAAGATCACCGATTGCCAAATGCATATAAACATATTGTCTCCACACTCAAATCCGGATCTCGTTATTTAATTCGAAGAATAGCATATGCAAAGGCAGCCGTCATGCTTAAACTCCAGGTAAAGTAATTAACATCGTACATTCCGATGAACTCAACAACATGGTTCTTCCACACATTCATTGGTCATAAATTATGACCAATGAATGTGACCATGATGAGTGACCATGATGAACTGGAGTAGTATGACACTATGAAATCAAACGTATGACACATGACGGCAAGACCATCTGTAATCGCGTTGAATGTATTGTGACACATATATTCCTTTACTTGGTGTAGCACAATCAGAAAGTAGAGCAAAGCCCCCTATAATACATTACCTAATTGAGGAAGTAGACCTATACACAATATATATATATATAAATAAGCATCTAAGTTTCTGTGGGTATTCCTGGACGTTTAAAGTACCTCCTTCCTGAAACGCGAATGATACAAGACCCTGACCTATTTCAAGTGTAATGTACTCACTCTAGACTCAATTTATATTAGATGATATAGGCAGACCTAAATTCTGCAAGTTCTTATGATAGTGCTGAAACTGGCACTTCTTCCACAATGTCATTCATGAGAATGAAAGAGTATGACGGCCGAGTATCTCTTCTGATGATTCAAAACCCTGATGACTATTGGATAACTCTAATTAATAATGATTACTTTTGATTTGATTCATTAATGTTCATCTTAGTTTATCAATCACAAGTTTATTAAGAAAATCAATGAAGAATTTTTACTTGAATAGTGGTTTGTTTGTAGTGGAGAGATAATTTTTTCTGATGTCATTTAGAATGTAATCTTTTGTTAAGTGTGTGAAATTGGACTTTAGACCAAATATAAAGTGGGCTAAACTCTAATTTGTTGTAAGAAAATGTAACAAGCAATTCCATTTAAATTGTGTAAGTTTGATTCTTGTGTATACATAAAAAAATATAGATAGTGAAATTTTGACTTCATTATTCTAAAACTCTATGTGACGTCATGCTTATTTCAACTATATACATATATGATGTTAATAAGCTCAAATCTTTCTTAAATTTGGATTTTGATTGAAAAATCTTAATGTAGCAAGAATACTTTGGAGTTTAAAATTTCAAAACAACTCAAAAGTAAGAAGTTATGCTTAACTCAAGGCAAGTATGCTAGAATGGTAACTTCAATATTTAATGTAGAAAATTTGAAGATTTTGATATTATTTCAATTCATCGTTTAAATTTTCATCAACTCTTTGTTTGACAAATGACTTGGAAAAGAAATTGATGTTCAAGATTCTTTACAACAAGAAAGTTGAAGGTTTTATGTTTTTGATGATTCATGTTAGGCCTCACATTATTCTTGATATGAATAAGATTAACATATCCATATAAAATTCAGAAAACCCTGTTTTAAAAAAAATATTTTTCAAGATTTAAGAAGATTTTGATTTTGTGTTTAATGAAAAATTATACAATATGAATCTACTAATTGATTATGTAGAGATGATATGGAAAAGATATATTAAAAAATCTACAAATAGTAGAATAGAATTTGAAAAAAATCTACACATAGTAGTAGAAATTGAAATTGGAAGCATAAATTAAAAATCTATATTTCACGATTGCCAAATTCAATTCTTTACAAAAACTAAATATGTATTAGATGCAAAATTAGTGAAAGACAAAATATTTGATCGAAGATACTTGTGATTGAGATGAAATGAATGTATGGCATTGTGAATCTCGATTGTGACAATAAAAAGCTTTAAATTTAATAATAAATTAAAAAATTAATTATAGAATAATACATATAGGCATCAAATATAACTTTGACTGTAAAACTTTTTTCCAATAAGATGGTTGAGCTGGTAAAAATATATACTAGCTTTTAAAACTTTTATAAAAGTGATTTTTACGTAATTTTTTAGACATCTTCTAACATTGCAGATCTTGCATGTAAATACAAGAAGACTAGGCAAGCAATTGTGTTTTTTTGTATGATTTTATTCTATCATGTTATTTTTATTCGTATAATTTTGGGTTTACAAAGAGACAGCTGCAAACTAATCATATGGAGTATATTGTTTATGATTTTCAAGACATGAATCAAGAGAGATACTATTATGTGTTATCTCAAATCCTGATTAATTCTAGTTAATTTAATCACGAATAGGTAGTTCAATCAACTGTTAATATGTAGGATAGCTGATTGTAATTCTTGATGATATATACTTTGAATATTTTTAAAAGAGGTGTTTCTGTTTCTCTAAACTTAGACTCTTTGAGGTAAAAAATATATTTTGTGTGTCGATTATATTCTTCATATTTGCAGGTCCAGGCATTCATATATTCATCCAATGTTATATCAAATTTTACGGGGAAAAAAATTGTTTTTTCATAAAATTGATATACAGTTTTCTTTGATCATTCTAAAATATTGAATTAGACATATGAATTATAATGAGATTATGTAGGGTTTGACCTCTTTAAATTTATACCATGTTAATAAGTTGATTATTTATTTTTGAAAAGTATTAATAATATGTTATATATATATATATATATAGACACACACATCATATTGTGTTGATGTTAGTGCATGAATATATGAAGTGTGTGTAACTTATGTTATGTAAAATCTATGTACTTGGTAAACCTTACAACTAGCATTCGCACTTATTATGCATGCATAATCAAACATCGTTATCAAAGTTAGACGAGATTACTTTCAATGTTAATCAGGATATTTTGAATTCAAGATATCAAGTTTGATATATGACTCATGAAAGATTTCTTATTGAAAATTCATTCTAAAATTTATGCTTTAAAATTCTTTTTTATCTCTTCATATGAAAAAATAAAGTATCTCAATAAGTCATCACTTTTAAAAGCTTTCGTAGATTGTCTACTTATCATTATCATCCAGTCAAAAAAGCTAAAACTAAACATTAATATGAACAAATGTGTCTTTTATTTTTATGTTTTTGTTTGTGTTATCTCATTTTCACCTTGGAATATTGATGTTAATTACGATTTTCTACAAAATTATTATTCTTATGTAGTCAATAATTACAAGAAGAAATATGTAACTTTAATCTATAATCTTCCATTTTCTGGTTTGTATTGACTTTTTTTCATTTTCTACTACTAAGTTTTTTTCTGCATTGTACGCGCCTGAAACATTAATAGTTCTCTTGTTTTCTCCTTACAAACTGCAACTATCTTTTTTCTTCTTCACATCATTGGCCTTTAAGACTTTATAAATCATCTCTTCTTACAAAGCTGAAAATCTTAGACCAAATCTTATTTGTCTTCATGAACTTCAAACTTTACGAATATGGTAGATGTGATTGTTTATAATATGATTATCATATGTAAATGCATAATGAGAAGTGTCATGACTGTCCATGAATACATGAAAATATTTATTAGAGTAGTCAGAGATACGCAAGTTACAATGTAAACAAGGAAAATGTGAGGCTAGAACGACCACAACTAACTTAAACTCCAATGAATGTTGCGTCTCCAACCCATCTTGAATTCTAATTAGTTTCAATCAGTGTTGCTAACATCAAGGGATTTCCAAATCCATTGAAAATGCACATTCATCACTGAACTATATTCAAAATGCACATTCTGAGCTTCATTGCTAATTACTTTGAAAACATAGATGTTTTGTGTAAAATTGTACCTTCTTTACCTATTTAAATGATACTGCACGGAACTCTTAAAAAATAATTCTTTTATTTTCTTCTGCTATCAATTGCTACTTCAAAACATGTGCGGAATACGTCTAACAATATCCCATTAGTAATCACTTAATTGCTGTGCCAGCCGAATCGAGATGTCACCTTATAGTACATATTTTGATTAAAGTACAGGGGGTTTTGTGTGATTATTCAAACTGGTGTGAACGAAAATCGCTGAAAACAGGGCCCTGAATGTGCCCCTCGGCTCCTATGCTTCTCTCCCCTACCAGATTCCATGGAAACATCGTCATTACTCGTGGACCAAGTGCCAAGAAAACTCTCCTCCCGATCGATGCATTCCTTCTCCCGACTTCATACCGCTGCACAAATTCCGAAAGCATTGTAATCAGCCCAACTGTCGAATTGGGGCAGGAAGGGCTTCCCTCTGCAAAATCGTCTCAGGCCTCCCGAAAGTTGAGGCGGATCAGAAAGCTGTTCCATTTGATGGTCGGCGGGTGAGACGCTGGTTTGGAATTCTGTCCGGGGCGAGAAGGAGCGAAATGGAGGGAGCGAAGGTGGAGACGAGGAAGCGTGAGTTTTCTGGGAAGGACGCGGGCAGCGTTCGGAAGCAGATTGCTGATGCACATACTCAGGAGATGGTGCATCGCTCAAAGCCATGCGCGGGGAAAGTGGGGATTGTGCAGGCCTTGTGCGGGACTGGAGTTTTTCTGGGGTTATGGTTTGTCCCCGCCATGATGGGCTACAACCTCATCGATCAGCCTGTCGAAACTCTGCGGATTTGTTTCGTACGTGCACTACCCGAGTAATCCTCAACATAGGTTTCAGCGGTTTTCAGATTGGAGGAGTTCAGTCGTATTTGTATCCCCCATAATCAGCTCAGCGTTTAGGTCAATGACTTTCGTGAAAAGAAAACGTGCGAGGTAGTGCCCGTTTCGCTAGCGGTGGACTGGATGTAATTTTGCGTCGAAATGGGTGGCTGGAACATGAATGTGGTCCCACATTGTCGACGTTCGGAAATTTGGGACCTCCATGGGTTTGTAGGAATTATTTTAACAACTTCTACGGTTCCCTCAGGACGAAGTGGGTGTCTGTTGATTCTTGGTGCAGGCACTGTCTTTCCCGGTGCTACTCATTTCTTATTCTACACTGAGGTTGCAGCCTGAGATTTGCCCGGTTAGTTTCTTTTGCCTTCCCTGAGTATCGCAATGATATAACTGTCAATTGAGCAGGGTTAGAGACGCAAGTTCGCACATGGATATTGAGGCCTGAGGAACATCATTTTTTTGCAGATGTGGTGGGCGGCCTTTCGAGGCTTACTGAGTCTGCCTGTAGGTTGTTCTTGAACTCACTGTTTCTCAAGTGTCGCGTTGTTTCCTCCTTGATTCTTTTTTATTTGCCAACGGAATTTCACTCTGTGAAATTAAGGTTGCCTTCTTCACTTCTATGTAGGGATTGTTGCTGCGTCTTTTGTAGGAACAGTATTTGGAGCGCCAATATCGTACGAGTACGTCCAAGTTTTCTTTATTGCTGGCTCAGTTGACTTTGTGATGAAATATGCGATTACCTCCCTTGTGTATATCAGACCTTAATAGATGTAACTAGCTCCTACGAGTATGTCTGAAGAAATCTTTCTTCACTCCACTTCAGAGTTGAGATTGTTATTGAATGTGCTATATGAATCGTAGTCCCATATGTAGATTATGTGCTCTGTTTCTTCATCTTCGTGCTGCTTCTGTCAAGCACTAATCAACGAACTGTCTGTCACCGTCACCAGATCAGCTGTTAAGACTTTTCACTGGGCAGCACTCATTTCAGCATTGACGGTGAGCCTTGGAGTAGAGGAATGAGAATTCTGCTTTCTCTTCTACTGTCCTTTAGTAAACTAATGATCGAGTTCAACTGTTTGGATCAAACTGTGAACTTAAGTTTTTCAAGGGTCATGCAGCGTACCTACTTCGGTTTACGAATGACAGTAACTTGTCTAAGCTGATCAGACTGCTTGCCATCTGATTAGGTTGTACCTGTGGCAGTCGTTGTTGGAGGTTCATGGTCAACCTGGCACCGCCTTTTTGCGCGCACAGAGTGAGTAATCTCTTCATTAAGGGTTAATGACAAAAAGCAGATATTGAAGATCAGCTGATATGAGGTTCAACAAACCCAGTAATCTCTTTGTTTGTTTGCAGACCAGATGGTCCGTTGGAGCTGGCTCTCTGTTTGTCCGCTCATTGTGCAGCGATAGGATCTTGGGTTGGAGCATGGCCCATGCCACTTGACTGGGAGAGGCGATGGCAGGTACTGCCTTCTTAAGCAATCCATTTTGAGAATTGTGAAAAATAATATAACCCCTACCGATACTAATCAAGAGTTTGTGTCATGTGCGTAGGAATGGCCCGTGTGTTGTACATACGGTACTGTGGGTGGTTATTTGTTGAGCGTCATCTTTTCAATCGCGTGGTATTCAGCCAACAGGGGAGCATCTAGTGAAGGAGAGAAGAAGAAAGTAAACTAAGCTGAGGCTTTTCTAAGTACACGAGTCAACCTGTGTTTGAAACAAATTTCATCGGAATGGAGCACACGGCTCGGGTTTAAGTACCCCGTAAAAGTTGTTTAAATGTGAACTCGCATGTGATGTCGGGGACAAAGCTTTTTCTACAGATGGAAGGTGGAGGTCAGGTTTCAAGCTATTCCCTCCCTCAGCAGTCGAGCGAACTGCATCAGGAATTGGGAGTTTTTTACAAGACGTTATCACTCAATTCAGACCTACATCTTTGATTTGTAAATTTTCTTCTGTGCCAGGTTAGAGCTGAGGCTGAAGAAGTCTGGGCCATAACTTTTAGCTGAAGCCTAACAGGAGAAAGAAAAGATCGAAATGTGTCTGCCCTGCAGAACGGTAAGACGATGCCAGTTTCAGTTCTGCACTCTGATGAGTTCATCCTATGAGAGCATGTTAACTTTTTCACGACCATCAGGCTGCAGATTCTTGCAATCTTCGAATCATTTTCGAGATAGCCTAAGATAAACATTTGATTGTGTAATGTGAAATCTCTCCAATCAGTGTTATTGCCTTGTGCATTATCCATGATACCTACATGGCTCTATTGTCGTTAAAGGCTTTGGTGTCCCATTGTTCGGCTTGTTGAGATATTTGATGTTCTTATGTGCAACTAGGTTGAATCCCTTGCTGTCAGTTAGTAAGCTTCACAAAGCAACTTTTTCCAGCGTCGGAGGTTTAACCATTCGCTTTTTCATTATAACAATCTTCCCGCCCCTCAACCGAGATATGCACTATTCGGATATGGCACTGAGATGTGTACCACAGTCAGTCAGTGAAGCCAATGGCTAAAGCTATAATAAGTCGAATTTGGATTATATCTGTAGTCATTGCTTCTTCTTGTTTGGAAATATAAAAGTGAAAAGTAAAGGAGTAAGATATGAGTTGTTGAAGCGACATTGTGGTTTACACGTTTCTCGCTCTTATCGTTTCTATTTTTTGATATTTCCAAGCAAGATGATTGTCACTACTCTACTGATGTGGCACCTATCGTATCAGAAGGCAGCTAAAACCTGTCGAGGGGAAAGAATGAAAGGTATAGGTGGAGGCATGCGAATTACGACGTCATGTGTGGCCAAATAGTCGGAATACACCAGGTGTTGTATATCATTGGGGTCCAACCGCATATATAATTTCATCCATAGTCTCCTTGACGCGTTTCTTCCATTTTTTCTTTCATCTATTGCGATACTATGATCACTCATTCAAGATACTTTTATAATATTCATTGAAAAAGAAAAGGCCGGGGACACTTCAATGCCTTTGAGAAATCTTTGATTGACAATCGTGACAAGGTTTTCTGGAGTTGCTGGAACTAACTAATACCACGGACCTTTCTGAGCCACAGCATATTATAATTCTCTGAAGCATTTATTGTACAAGACCAGAACGTCTGTGCAAATATACATTTACACATCATTGAACAAGGTGAGGCCAAGGATGGGAAGTGGGCTCTTACAGAGGACCGCCATTTGCGCTGTATGTACTACTCTGCAATTTAATCTGACACCACAACCGAGACGCCGAAATCTGTACTACGGTGAGACGGTGCGACGGTGAAGATGACGAACGTGCATATCTACAGACAACTGGCAGCACAGCCCCACAAATTCAGTCAAAACATTACAGAATCTGTACACGTGTTATCTGTTACTCCTCGTTATGGTGGTGCAGGAATCACGTCGTGTTTCAGTTGGCTTGGTTTCAGCTTGAGATGAGGATGCAAACGGGCCAAGACTTGCTCATACGCAGGTGAAATGCTCATTCCCCATACATTGATGGAAACTAGGTTCGGGCAGCATCTGGCAAGAATCAACATTGCTGCTTCGGTGACATGTCTGCAGCCCCACAAGTTGAGCACCTGTTCGATGGTCCGAGCGCGATCGTTAGTACGATTCTCGATGAACGGCATATGTCTCATTGGTCATTACTATACACGGACACTGGCTCCAACGAGGGAAACAAACGGCAATCGTCCGACTTCATTTACGCACCTACACCGCTTCAATCCTACAGATGAAGGATCAGCTCGATTTCAAGATATCCATCTATTATTGCACCAATAGATCGCGTGCAGAGTCTATCGAAGGCGGATGCTCGGAAGTTACTATCATCTTGTTGAAGCGGAGCCCACGAGTGCTTCAGGACTAGTAATATTCTCGAAGGAAACTGATAGCAGGAAGATGTAATTGACACACTCGAGAGAAGTAAACATCACGGAAGTCTTTACTGGATTTGTGACCAACTGACTTGCATCCGCAAGACTAGACCGCTTGAGATATAGCTAATATGACAAATGCTGAGAGTACGCGATGAAAGTACAACTAGCGCGAGAGGGATCATGGGAGGTACTGGGACAAGAGGGACACGAAGACAAGAGGTATCTTTGCTCTGTGCAGTAAGTCTGTAATTGTGGTTTGTTGTGAGATGTTCACACCTTGAGGCGATAGCTGTGACATGCAATTGCCATCACAGTGTCATCTGTGATGAATGTTCCTCCGACGTTCAAATGCTCGAGAGATTTCGCCTTCCTCACCTGGCACCGAAACATCTCGACGAAACAAAGTTAGCTCCAATACATCCGTGCCAAGAATCTGAACGCACGAGTTTAGGCCATAATCTTATGATTTGGAGTCTTCATGAAAGGGTATGGTAGAAATGTCTACGACCGGCGTACCCCTAATGAATTCAAAAGGCAGACACAGAAGAAGAAGAAGAAAACAATTCAATCACAGAGCGAAGGGTAGTCATCGGTGGAGTGATTCCTTCTCTCCTTGAGGAACTGCTGGGATTTTGTTCCACTCTGTGCTTTGAGGAATCTTAGATGACGACCAGGTGCGCACCACTAATTACGTTAATTAGGAAGCGACATCCTCAATAAGTTCAAATCACCTGCTAGTGTATGTAATCACTTTAATCGAATTCTGTATTGTAGTAACGAGGTCTATCAAAAAACTGAATTCAAGTTTTTTTGGTTGCGAGCTTTGTCTCCTCTCCGACTTCAGGTTCGACCAAACGACAAACATTTTCTCACTCCAGTGCCGTATCTGCTTGGCTACAGGGACTATCCAGGAGTTTGTAGCGCTGAAGTCTATTCGCCTTGAAACACTGTCCAAATCGCACACAGAATGCGCCAATTGATATCGCTGGCGAATCTAGTTCTCAACCACGAGTAATAGAGCCTTGCTGCTTGCTGACAAGTCGGACCTCGACATCGAGCTCTTCCCGTCATTCCGCTGTTCCTCACAACAAAGACTGACGCAGAGAAGGTGGAAAATTACCAGCGCGACGACTCCTTCGTCTGTGATCCCCGTGACGCCCCACAAAGACAACGATGTGAGGTTGGGGCAGCATTTCGAATTCGCGATACGATGCAATCCAGCATTTGTAATACGTGAGCCCCACCTCGTCAAAGAGCTGCAATGCACGTAAAACGAAGATTCATTTATGGTCTGGACAGTTTCAACGGACTGAAGGAAGCGCTGAAGCTCATTTTGAACCCTTCCCACACAAGTTCAGTCAGAATCTAACCAGTCAATTCGACGATCGAGCGCAACTTTCCATTTGTAGATTAAAATCCAAGGGAACTGCACTCTGGAGAGAGCGCCCTGAGGAGGAGGATATGAAGGATTCAGCCATAATGGAATCAGCAAGGTCATCTGCTTCGTCCGACGACAGAGAATCCTCAAAAAAGCAACTCAGAGGCTGAGCTTGACAGACGCCCAAAGCAGGCCTCATCTGAGATGCTCATTTCTCCGTTGCCTTTTCCTTTCGTTCCTTTTTCCCTTTCGGGTTTGCTCTGCTTTGCTTTGCTTTACAGCAATGAGCTTTGCGCGAAGGGTGGAGCACACGCAGGCCTCGAGTGGTTAAGGTCAGAATTGAGGACTCACATGTCGAGCTCCAAGAGGTTCGTGGCACCTTCCACCAATTGTCCTACAGTGCAATCATCCGTCCTCCAGCCGGAGAAACTAAGCTTCTCCCTGTAAGCCAGAGCCTCCTGCATCCCTTGCTTCCACTTGCGGCACACGGCACTGGCCCTGCCAAAATTCCAAACCACCAGCAGCTTAGCAGCAGACTCAGTTCTCCTCGGTTGTCGTTTGCGCATCTCGTTTAGAAGATCGGAGCGAACTATTTTTAGCTTTGTTGCGTTCTTTGCATTGTCCTGCCGGACGAGCTTTGTGAGAGTGCACGCAATCTGCAAACGGAACTTCGATCGTGAGTTAGAAGTGCACACAAACATGAAAGTAGACCACTCGTGCACGGGTTTCAAGGGGAATAGAGGAGAGAAGATTTTGGGGCCCAATGTGAGGAACTGCATAGCTTTCCTCTTCCGAGACCTGGAGCCACGACAACGAATTCGAGGCAGCTCACGGGAGCTGATTGCTGGAGTGGCAGAAGAATTGGCTGGGAATGGCTGCGCAGAGGGGGGTTTGCGACGATTTCAACCAACAACATTATTGGCAAGAAGCATTATGTGGGCACGATGAATTGAAGGTGTTCTTCCGTGGGTAAGCACGGGCGGCACCCGAGTGGTGGCAGTAGTAGAAGTACCATGCCATGTCTTTGAAGGACGAGAGTTGGAGGAAAATATGCGACCACACGTCGACTGGCACGTGACACAAACAAGCCCGATTCTCGTCCCCCTTCTTCTTCTCCACAGCGCTCGTCGAGTGCTGCTGGCCCCCTCCATCGTCCAGTCCACAATTCGAATCGTGTACCCGCACCGCTTCCATCCTACTCATCATCATCATCGCCGCCGCCGCCCCGCTGCTCTGCCATATCCACTCTCCCGCCTCGATCTCCGCACTGGACAGTCCTTCCCACCTCAGCGCCTCCATGTTTCTGCTACCAATCCTCCTCCTCCTCCAAACCCACCACCACCAATTCCCGTCTATTCCTTCTCCTCCTCTCACTCACCTCCTTCCTCTCATCCACATTCGACAATCTCTCTCTCTCTCTCTCTCTCTTTTTCATTCTCCGGAAGCACAAGCCCAGTAACCACCTCTGCAGAATGACCCGGCACGCGAATACGCAGGACAATCGGGCGAGACGGCGACTGCCCAACACTCATATGTAGATATGAGTGTTCACTCGCGCACCGCCGAGAGCGAGGGAATTCACAGCGACCGCCCTGACATCAGGCCCAGTCGGTAGAAAAAATTGCCACTTCACTTACTGCGCCACGGGAATTCTCGCTGCGTCTGGAGTCTCTCTCGTCCATTTGTCTTCCGTGCATCGAGGCCAGAGAAAAGGCACCAAGGCAGCACAGTCCTCCCGATCTTTGAGGGGAGCGCTGGTAGGTTCGGCCTCGCTGGCATGTCACGAGAATCTGTTGAAATGACCATTTTCTGCAGACATTCATGCAAAGCTCTCTGGGAGGCGACGACCTCTTTAAGGCCCCTGTCGTGCCCCTGGCGATGGCGTTCACTCTTTGCGCCGAGCGAGCGCAGACAGAAAGAAGCAGAGGCCCACGGAAAAGAAAAAGTAAAAGAAAGAGGGTACCACGTACCGCGAGAGCAAAGGCCAATTCACCAATCGGGGGTCGTGACGTTTCCTCTACGTAGTTACCCCAGAGCGAGCCTTTCGGAGCCCCGACGAGGTTGGCACCACCGCAGTTCTCTTCTCTCCGCCGTCAGATCTGCGACACCGACGGCGAAGAGCTGGCAGTGCACGCTTTTGGGGACCAGACAAGCAGAACTGGTACGGCCCTCGGCCCTCGGACCGCGGGGCTGCTGTGGCGTGTCCGGTCGCTTTTCCACTTGTCTGGGCCCACCAGCACAGCCCGAAGCGGTCCTCTCCACTGGCCTCACTGCCACTGTCCCGTTACAGGACAGTCCTCTGCGGGGCGTCGAGGCTGTCCGGACTCCGGAGTGAGGAATTTGTTGCAGATGGGGCCCGCTCGGTGTGTTGGGTGGATCGACTCATTGTGCTTTCCGCTGTCTGTTGTGTGGTCATCAAGCCGCTTTTATGTCGTCATTGGATCTCGGCCGCATGGCTCAGAATTCGCCCTCTTCTGCGCCTGTCCCTCTGCCTCCGCTGGCGAGCCTGCGACGTTTTGGCTGCACTCTACATTCTCGGACTTCGGCTCTTTGCTCACATCGTCGCCTGTGCTCATTGTGTAGTACACAATGAGCACAGAGCGATGACTTTTTCTTTTCTAAACTCGGCATCGGGCAGCTGAGCCTTCGGGACATCATTGCTTTCCTGGTCTGTTCGGTACATTGATTTTATTTTCTTCGCCTACTGGACCCGTGGCTCTTACATGGATCTAGATAAATTTCGTTTCTCGCCGCGTGGGATTTGATGGGTGCATTTGTTTGTTGGGATTTACCTTGAGTCAATGTGATATTCACATCTTCGAAAAGCACATTCTCAACGACCAATCCACAGTTCTTCCCTCCATCTTGGAATGTAGGGAAGTCTCCAGGAACATCGAAGATATCTTTTAGCTTCCACATTTTTATTTTTATCCACTTGACCCCTTCACGTTTGTCATTTAGCTTCCGATTTTTTTTAGGTTTATCTCTTGGCTTAGGTTGGACCTGGATTTCTAAATTATCTGTTTTCTGTCTTTAATATAATATTTTTGGTAATGCCAAATCGTTTCTGTTTAAGTATTTTCTTTCATTTTTCTATTTTCTCAAAAATTATCACATTTTCGAGAAAATGCGAGTTCGAATCCCTCTCTTTCCGAAAGAAATTTTATGTGTTTCTTCATCAAAAATAATTGTTTTTTAGCACTTTTAACTATAATTATTAATTGAATTCAATCATTTAGTTCATACATATTATTCTTGGTAAATTTTAACACATTCATTCATACATGTGTTCTTAGTGTTAATTTTTTATATGGCTACTCTAGGGTTTCGGCTGGACTCAACTTTAGAATTTCGGTTGGACTAAACTATCGGTAGGTTTCAGCTATACTACTTAGCACAACGAGTCTGTTCCCGCTGAACTTTATCTTTAAAATTATGAATGTTCCCGTGAATATGAACTATAAGGCTATCCAAGTTATTTTTTGCGTTTCTCTCTTGTAGTCCAGTGAAAGTTAGATGTAAAAGATGATATCATAGCTCTCACGCGATGCAGCCAAGTTAATTCAATTTCCTCTGCCAAATTTGATCGTAAATCGGTTCGATCATGTCTCGTGTCAATCATCTTGTGATACACATGCGATGGCCACTGATTGTGATGTTAGAGTGAAATTTCCGATCAGAGGTCGTATTCTCTTGCCAAACTTTCTAACCTGAGGTGCATGTGCATTAGGTTGGATGCTAATTTTTTCTAAATCTCGAGGCGTTAGTCAACATCACTGTGGTGACTAGTTTTTTCGTTTTTCTTTAAACATCAACAAAACTAAAAGATATTTGTGTAGAAAGTAACTATAAGAGTTAGAATGAGTAGTTTTTGAGAAGTTATGATAAGATTAGTTAGTATTCGCCCACGGCCGAAGATCTTCGGGTCTTCGGATTTTTGACGCAGACTTTTCTGGACAGTGCAAGAGCTGCGTCTTCGGCGAAGACATAGGAAATCAATTTGAAATCGCGCAACGGGCCGGACGACGTTCGCACGCGTCGATAATTCTACTTGGCACGGGAGGAGGCAATGTTAGGGCTTCAAGGGTAAGGGCATTACGAGGAGCCTTCGCGCCAACATTGCGATATCGAGCAAGAACGAGCGAGAGTGAGAGAGAGCGAAACCGACTGACCTTGCTAGCAGCGAAGACGCGAATTGGAGACATGGCGTCCAAGAAGAGTGATAAGGTACGGAAATTGGTTCCCTTGAAGTTGCCATACGTGGAATTGCGACCTTTCAGGCGCGAGCTGAGCGAATTGCGGCTTGATTTCCTCTTGTGGAATTGAAATTGCGTTTCGGCGAGTATCTGCAAGTAGATAATGGATAGGAACGAAACCAATGGCGAGGAGCTTCAAGGTAATCTCATGCTGTGAACAATTGAGCATTGGGCGAAGATGATGGGACTGTGCGCAGGCAGCGACGGAGATCTTTTGTTTGAGAAAAGTAGCGTGGGACTTACGCGCACTGAAGAATTCTCTTACGGGCCACTCTTTAGTTTCGGGAGGCAGTGGACGAACGGATGGAAGACAGCTGATTAGCTAGATCCAAAGAGAAGGGCGATTGCTTTGGGAATTATTCATATCTTGCGACCGGCACGCACGACGTATGTGACGGCCTGACAAGTAGGGTTCTTCAAGCGAATCCTGAAAAAGGGACAAAGAGTACACTGGGCAAGAATATTTCACGATCTTGTATGTATGAATGAGGTCTCCCGGTAGACCGGACCATTGATCAATCATATCATTCCTTTACTTGTGAATTTCTATCGAAGCATGGATTTGCTTACGAGGGAGGAGGAGAAACAATTTTCGAGGGAGTGGGAAATCTTGACAACCGAGTCTAGTGAAGGGACCGAAGACAATACCCGTCAACGCTCAATCTCACCACAAACGACAGCCCTAGAACCAGTTCAGGTGGACGTTGTGCAGAGACGGGAGAAGCCAAAGAGACGATTGGCGAAGAGAAGAAAAGTAGTGAATGACGACGAGGGAGATTTGGCACTTGAAGTCACAAGAACTGAGATTGAAGTAGACGTAATCAGGCAGTCGAGAACTCGCGCGAGACCAAAGAAGAGGGCGAATCAAGGGCTGGTGGCAGCTGAAATGTCGGATAGCAGCGTGGAAAAGACAGTTGCCTCGCTTGTGAGTACACCCGAAGTCGCAGTTGGCGAGTCGACACATTCTGTGAATGTGGAAGGACCTTCAGGGGTGTTAATCGAAGTTGTAGCGGATGCACCGGCAGAACCCTTGAAGGAGGGAACGGAGATGGTAAGTCCGAATTCTCTGTCTTCGGAGCGGACACGGTCCGCGGGGAGTGAAGAAATACTTCACCCAAAGACGAGCGAGGAACTGGATAAGAGCTTACACTGAGTGATGAAATACTCGAGCAGCTTGTTGCGCAGGTTGCAAGGACGGTAGTAGAAGCCGCATACATTACATTGCCGTCATCTCCTGTGGAAGATGTGAGACCCGAAGAAGAGACGAAGACTTCGGAGGAGTAACCGAAAGAGTTAGTTGTTTCCTTCCCCGACTTCTTCAAGGATAGTGTGGTTCCAATACTACAGTATTTGGACGGGAAGAGAGAGAAGTATGCTATGTCGAAGGAGGCAGGATTCTAAGTATAGTTAGTGAAGAAAAGAACTAAGCTCAAGAGAGTAGTAGCAGTGAAGAGGGAGTGGGATTCCGCGACTGAATTGGCACGTGAGCAGCTGCAAACTTGTCCACCGAGTGCGTGGCAGCAAAGGCCGTATTGCAAGAGCGAGAAGCTCAGCTTCGGGAGAAGGAGATTGAGTGCGAAGTATTGCAATTGAACCTGGCGAAGGAATCCGGTCGATGTGTAGAGTTAGAAGAGACTTGTGGAGGACTTCGTATCTCTAATGAGAATGTACAGAAAGTGACAGTGGATTTGCTTGCGAGGTTGGAGAAATTCAGGGAAGCATACGATGAGGCAGTCAAACGATCGGAGCAATTGATCGTAACTGCGGAGAAAAGAGAGAGGAATCATGTTGAGGAAGTTGCTAAGCTGAAGACCCGAAGAGCCGAAGAACTTCGTATCGCCGAAGAACTTCGAGGCAAAATCGCAGAGGCGAAGACGGCGGAAGAAGATCTTCATTGCAAGATTTCGGAGATTGACGGTAAGTGCGATGCAGAATTCCGACGTGCGGAGGAGCTATCCGCAAGTCTGGCGGAGGGAGTCCGGAAGCATGAGGAGGAGTTAGCGAATTGGGCCAAGAAATTGGCGGATTGTGAATCGGCCATGTCTTTGGAGGCCGAATGTAAATTGAAGTTTGAATCGGAATGTCAACGGTTGCGAGAGTAGTTAGGCAAGGCGGACATGAAATCGCAGGAGTCGCAAAGGGGAATGGAGAAGGTAAAGGAGGCCTATCGTCAACTACGGGACGAATCAACCAACGAGTTGAAGTTGCGTTTGGAGAAGTGTCTGAACGGATTCGCGATGTGGGGATTGCAAACTGTGAAGTGGTTGAAGCTAAATTTGCTCGAGCGACGGTTGATGAGCATCAAGACCAACGGATCCGCAAGACTCAATCAGATTGTAAAGTTAGTTAATACACTTTTAGAAGGATTGAATTAGGCGCGCCAGAATGTAAAAGTAGAGATTGTAAACGTGTTGCGAGGGATAGGAGTAGATGGAAGTTCAGATGACACCGTAACCGCTACATTGGACGGCACAGCCCCTAAGACCGATTCGCCTTAGGCGATTGATATTCTAGAGTTGCCGTTGTGAATAAAGAGGTCCAAGGCTCTTTCCTTTGAAGGCTTTTTTGTCAATTGGCTTGTCTTGACTGTAAACCTGCATCCACTGTGTCTTTGTGCTGGTGTGTGATCCAGACATTGAGCACGGTGCATTCCTGTTTGTCGAAGTTACCGCATCGGGAGTTGTGTGTATTCAGCTTGAATGTTCTAAGTAGTCGAGTGCTTCTTGGGATTTAAGCAA